CTTCGGAAATTCGCAAAATTACTAGAAATCCAGCTTCCTTTCCGTCTTGACGCCGTTTCTCTACATGATGCAATAATCGCGCAACCCTATGCAAGATATACAATTGGTAGTGTGGAATCATATTAATATGTTGTCCCCGATCATCCTCTGTAAAGTAACAAGATATAAAAAGTGCACTGGTCATTAATGGTGCTTTTTATGAGTGTCTGAAAATTCCCAATCTCGCGGCTCTACAATACAAAAAAAAATTTCATTGCACTCGACCCAGTTTGCCAGGTCTCCAAAGCATTCTACACTTGAAGAGAAAGAAGTTGCAATAGCGTCCCTTTCTTTGTTTTTTGCCGTCGTCTCACTGTCGATTCTTGCGAGATTTTACGTTTGTCACAACATAGTACATCTAAGATGTTTTGGTTTGGGCAAAAAGGTTGGATTTGGAAGAAGTCGTAATGTTTCAAAAAAAAATTGTGGAAAAGAATTTTGTCAGCATCCAATAACAGAGGAAGTAGAGGTCAATTCGAAGAAAAGAAGGAAAAAGGCTAGGTTGTGTGACCGGCCCAACCCAAGGGTGACAAATAACACTCAATAATGAATACAATATTGATATGTATAAGTTAAAATTTGAGAAGGGTCTCAAAACCCGTTCAGTTCTCTCGCTCGCGTCATTTTTCCAATCCTTTTGAATTTCTTATGAATTGAGAAGTAGTGGTGATAAAGCTAACAGTGACCTTCGCTTACGCCCTCTCCTTACTTTCGTTGTACTCCTTAACTGCGATTCTTGCTACAAACTTACTTATGTACTTAAACAATGCTAGCTTACATCTTATAAATGCGAAGACAAGTGAGTTGCGACTCAAAAGGAGGCGAAAAGGGAGGAGATTGAAACAAAATTCTGCTGTTTTTGTTAATTCTATGTCACCCCTCTTAAATCATGTCGCTACTACGATTTCTGTGAACCAAGACCTCCTTCTTCCTGTTCAGTATGAGTATATCAGCCAATACTTAGAATGAAGGGCTAAGAGGATAGAATACGTTTCGCCTAATATTCTTGCCTTGTATCATAGACAACATTATCTTGTGGAGTTTGAAACAAGACTGGAATGCTTCTTTCAAAAGCGTAGTGAAAAATGCCAGCGAAAAAAAAACAATGCATCCTATCGAGATAACGAGAAATTCTACCTAGTTCAGTTCGATCGTAAAACACTAAGAATCCAACTCAAAAAGCTCAACCTGTTCTTTAAAAAGGAAATGTAGTGAAGCTATCGCTTCAAAAGATATTTAATATGAATGGACCTATTTTATAGCAGTAATTCAGCTATTGTTATCTCTAAATTAAAATAATTTAAAAATTACTTACTTCTTGGTAACTTCAGATACATTCGTGACAACAACAGCTCTCCTTGTGCTATGTCACGAGTGAAAGTCCATCTGAACGGGAATAAGTTCAGAAATGAAAGGTTGAAGGATTACATGCTTACTTTCCATCCAAATATAAGACACCATCCACGACATTGAAGCAATTTCCATCTCTTA